GAATCCGTCGAACCCAGGAAGTTTGAGTTCCAAATGTGTACTCTTTTTAAAAACATATATATTTTTTATTTATTATTTTTATTTTATGTGTATGTGTGTGTTGTCTACATGTATGTAAGTGTACCCGTGTCATGAAATGCCCAAGGAAGACAGAAGAAGCCTATGGATTCCCTAGAACTGTAGTTAAGGACAGTTGTTAGCTGCCATGTGGGTGCTAGGATTTGAACCTGGATCATCTGCAACAATGGCCAGTGTTCTTAACCTCAGCCATCTTTCCAGGCCCTGAATATGCGCACTTCATCACTACATTCCTTCACAATAAAGAGGCAATTTGATCGCAAAATTACATTCACAGGAATTTTAAATAAATTGTAATGGAAAGTAACAACAACAAAAAAGAATTCCCTCAATTTAAAGTTCACATGCTAAGGGGCCAGAAAGTGCCTGAAGGAGCGTGAGGAAATAAATCTTTGTCATCCAGTACTGAAGAAACTCAACATGCTGAGTCAAATATTCCATGAGTTTCCTTTTTTGGCCTGAAAAATTTCTAATTAGCCATCTACACATCTTCTGAACAGGTACGTTGTGAGTAGCTAGGGTAGGTCAGTGAGTGAAATAAATTTACACACAATAACATTGATTCAGCTTTAGAGAAAAGAAGTATTACAATGAACAAGCTCTTTCAAATTTTCTATTAGTAAATAGACAATCAAAAATAAGAAAATGTAGAAACTTTGTATACATCTTTTTTAACCTGACTTCAAAGACTGGAAAAAGGCTCCTGAATCTAATTTGATATTTACTTGCTACAAAAGAGTCTGAAAGAGAAACTCCATGTGGACAGAGAGGGATGGACTTGAGGCTCCAGTGGACTTTACAAGGAGATTGCAGGAGAAATGTACCTCCCTGGTCTGTGTGCCTTTGCAATGGTTTCCTAATGAACTCTAGATTTGGGCAAATCCTGTCCAGGCAACTCTCACAGAGAATCACAGCACAAAAATGAAACACTCAGAACCTCAAACCTTTAAGATTCTGCTAGTTATCAGTTTGGGCCCTCAAAAATAATCTAAAAAGGCCATCATCTATAGAATGTCTGGTTCAGACTACAGTCTCACAGGAGATACAAACCTTTATGATTAATGACATAGCTCGCACTGCTGATCAGTTAGTTACCTGTTGTAGGTAAATTTCCTAATGCAAAGAAGCAAGGTATGAACATGTTTCTTGTGAGCAAATAAAACAATGTATCTTGGATATTTAAGAAATTAGAGAAAAGGCAATAAGAAAAAAATGTTGATAGGGCATTTTAAAATTTTTAAAAATAAGTAATTTAGCTCTTAAAGTGTCTCATGAGCAATTAGTTCTAATTTCATATGCAGCACATGACTACCAAAGCAAACTTTGACCTTTTAGGTAGATTCAGACAAACGTGGCAAAATTGAATGAATCCTCAACCAGTTATATAAACATACTGCAAGAAAAATTTAGGAAATTGTCACACTCAGGTTCATAATATTTTTTAAAGATCCTTTTAGAATACAGAATCTCTCTCTTCAATTTAGGCAAAAGAAAATCAGTCCCTGCTTCATTAAGAATCTTTTGTCTCCAAAGCATTATGATCATCTTATACTCTTCTCTACGAATCATTCAGTTTTACATGTTTTTCTTTTACCAAGAAATTGGCTTTAAATGTTTTACTTCATAGTAAGTGTGTTATTGTTCACACTCTTAACATTTAATGTGTTACCAAACTTGATGTTATTACCTTCATGTACTATAATGTATTACAAATTTCACCACAAAAATTTGTGTACCCTCAAAGTAAGACCCAGAATCCTGAACCTCTCTAGACCTTAGTAATGACATTAGGAATAAAATGATTTTAAGAGACTAGGAAATAAACCATAATTATTGTTAATAATTTAGCTGATTCTGACCAATGAACACCTCTGCTTTAGACTGCTATCCAATGGCAGAAGTTTTTTGACTTTCAGTTTTACTGGCCAAGCAAATCTTTTGCCGTTTCGTGCCTGTTACAGAATCACCACTGCTCTACAGGGATCCACTGACAGAGAGAAAGCTTTAACTGAATGAACACGCACTATGAATTTAAGAACAGATAAATACAGGGGATCTCTTCCACAATACTGCCCTTAATAGCATTTGTCTGTTTCATGCTTTAAGAGATACTCCTATATACTTTTTTTAAAAATATAAAACTGTTACATTTGCAATTCGCTTTCATAAGCATATCAAATAATATCTCCCATTCTCAAAATTAAATGTTCTGAATGTTTATTGTTCTTAAAAAGTAGAATGGAAAGAGTTAACATGAATACCTCTAGTGAACCCCTCTTCTAGAGGAAAAATATGGGCTTTTCAACCTTAAATCACACAGATGAAAAGTACAGAAGTACCAAAAACTGTTAAGCTCTACGATGAATAAAACACTGTAATTTTAGCTGTCACCATGAAAAGCATCTTTCCAAAGCTTTGTTCCAACTCTAATAAGTTGGTTCATGGAAAACAATTATGATCCTCTGAGGTTTATACATGATTGATACCATTGCTGTTTTAAAAACCTATCTTTGAGAATCTATCAAATAATTCATCCTGTGTGTGTGTGTGTGTGTGTGTGTGTGTGTGTGTGTGTGTTGTGACCAAAAATAAGGAGTCCAATGTAAGTATCTCTTCTGAAGAAGTGATGGAATGCTCTTCCTCTTAGTGTCTCCTTTCAGAAAGAAATTTCTAATAAAAGCTCATCAGACATAAATTCATGTCAGAAACCATCCTATCATCCCATGCCCCATGTAAAATTTGATTAAACTATTCTTAAAATTTTTTTTTAAGTGAAGAGGCTTATAAATCCGACCAAAGAAGTATTTAAGATCTTACAAAACTATTTGGGAATAATATAAACTATGAAACACAATCTCCTATAAATTATTAGAACTTTCCCTTCGGGTTAAGTAAGCTTTCTAAGATCTCAGAGGGCACATGACCCTGTCACTTAAATTGTTGCATTGTGCAGTGAACGTGGATGGAATAATGTAAATACTCTAAAAATGGAAATGGAGCTCTATGAACCCTTCTTCACATCAGACTTCAGGAAAGAGAAAAGATACTTGAAACTCAATATGAAAACATTTTCAGTAACATGACTTCTTGCATGTAACAATATCTGGTTGAACTGACTGAGAGATTCCAATATAAAGAAATTCAATCTAATCTGTGTTTAGCCTCACAAAACAAACCCAATATCTTCAAAACATTGATATCATTCCGGCCTGTAAAAGTAAATCAGTTTCCCAAAGCAGGTAGCCATCAATCCAGGCTAGGCTTCCTATAGGAAGCAGGATGTGAAGGACCACTTACTCTAACCACCTCCCCCTCACCCCATCACCACCATCTCTCCTCAACCACCAAGCAACAGGCCCTTCTGTTTATAGCATTATAAATAACAGCTTGCCATTTTCATTCCTCCAGCCTATGAACTAATCATTCCTTTATTTCAACACTAAATTATGTCTTGATTTAAATGTTAGTACAAAAATCCATCTGTGGCAAGTAATTCCAAAAGTTCCAATTCACCTTCGAGAAAACTCTGAACTTTCAGCTGCTTTCCATTTTGTTTCTTATACAGAAAACTAAATTGTATTTTTTAAAGAGTTAAACAATTTTGGTTTTCTAATGAGGGTTTTATGAAATACATTCTTATTTAACATCTGCAAACTTCTTTAGCTCATGTGATGATGGCTCTCACTTCTTCAAATGTTTCATATTGGCCCCATTACTTACTACATGGAGTCCTAAGAACAGTTCATACAAACTCAGCTATATTCAAACTGTGCCTCCACACGTGGCATTTATTATATGCACTTTGTATATCCATTGATTGCATGAAGCATGTTCAAACCCTGTGCAACAGGTCTTGCTGGTGTGTAAACACAAGCTCCCAACATGACAAGAAGCTTTATGGTATCCACAAGAATCACACTATTCACTAGAGAGTCATTAGAGATCATAATTCTATAGAGACACATGAAGCCATGAGATCTAATAAAAAAAAGTCAATTTTTCCAAGACCCTCCCACTGCCTCCACCTTCAGTGTAAAATAAATGTACTGAACTGTGTCCCAGCCCAGATATAGGTATGCCTTCCATTGATTTACTGCACATGACTGACTTAGTGCTGAGTTGAGAGGAAGAGTACTTTGGCAGAGGTCTGAAAAGTCCTTATTCTTAAGTTCCCTTTTGCTTTGTGCTGTCTGTTCCCAAAGGTATCAAGCAAAACAAATGACAATCTAAGACCTCTCTGTTTTTGCCATGTCAGTGTGAAATCAAATTAAAAACATACCTCTGAACTATTACTATGGGGGGGCACGTTTATTTCCAGTTGCCCTGGGAATGGGAGAGAGAGAGAAGACACCTAAAGGAGATTGATTTCATGTGCTCTGGTATAGTCAGATCTAGTTACAGTGTATTAAGTTATGTATAATGAGAAAAACGCTGTCTACTCAAGTGTTTTATCATAAAGTAATGTTATTAAACATATCAAGTATTCCCACGCTCTCCTCGGATTCTTTGATTCTAGCCTCCTTTGTTAGACACAGAAATATTTCAGGAACAATACCCAGACAGCACATAATGCCAAGCCATCAGTTCTGTTCCCCTAGCTCTGTACCCAGCATTAACTCAAGCTTCCTTATTAAGCTGCACGTTCCTTCTATGTAGGGCTTCACCTCTTCCCTAGCTAAGCAGCACAAACCCACTACAACTGTGTCTTTGAGCGCGCAGCATCGTGCTTTGTGCTGCTGGGGATAACGGATTGTGGGTCTCCAGGCATCCATCACCTATCCAACACAGGAAAACTCAACGGGCTTCAGTAGCTGGCTGGAGCAGAAACAACGTGCTCTGACCTACAAGGACCCCAGGAGTGAAGGAAATGTTTCAGGGAGCAGCCCAGGAGAGAGGAGAGGAAGGAAGCCCTGTACTCTTACCTCCACATTGAAATACTGCTCCGTTCCGCAGACCGTAGCACATAAAATCCAAAGCAAGGTTTGCAAGAAAAACACCCCCGAACGATGCACGAAATCCAACCGTCTTCCAGTACTGAATGCGAGTAAGATCATAGTGAACTGTGCCTCAACGAATGGACCAGTTCCCCTGCGTTTTCTCCCTCTTTTCCAATCCACCCCCCGCCCTCGTTTCCTTTCAAAAAATAAAAAAATAAAAAAATAAAAAAAATAAAAAAATAAAAAAAAAGTCCTCGGTGTGGGTAGGGAGCTTGCAGGTTCACCCACCGCCAGTCAGGGGAGGAGGCGGCTCCGTGCTCGGCAGCCGGGAGGAGCTGCGGTGAGGCAGGGTCAGTGGCAGCGAATGTTCACCATCCTCAGGGCGGTCGCTGGGAACGTGGCGCCCAAGTTCATCGGCGGTTCGGACTCCCAGCGCCACCGAGTCGCAGCCGCCGCCGCCTCCAACCCGTGCGTCCTCCGCCTCCTCCACCCTCTACGCCGCCGCTGCCCCCAGCTTCTGCGGGAAGGGCCTCCACCGCTCCCAGCTCGCTGCCTCTGCTGCTCCTTCCCTCCTCTCAGGGCTCCCCCTCCAGAATGTTCATCCGTAATCTACATAACTCCTCCTTCCCGGGGGTCTGCCGGGCTCTGGAGGCCCCCTCGCGCGCGCGCGGGCGCACACACACGCACACACACACACACACACACACACACACACACACGAACACACACAGCCTAACACACACGCAGGCGCGCTTCTTAAAGGAGCCTACTCTTAAAGGTTGCCTTCTGGCTACTATATAGTGCACTGGATTCGGTACCCTTGAGAAGGGCCCTGCTTGGAAAGGAGCTCTTTTCACACAGTATTACCTACACTCATCCAGACAGCTGACACCTAAGACCGCTGGAGAATCAATTCCCTCATCTCGACCGCCCCCACCCCTGGAAACAAGTGTGCCCCTCTCGAGTTGGACTTTGGGTGGGGCTCGGGCTGTGGATCCCAATGGGGGGGCTGGGGTGTGGCCCAGGCCTGGTCCTGAAGAGCACTAGGCATCCTTGATGGAAAGGCCTGGAAGATCTGGAGTGCTGGAAATCCCAACAGCACTCTGGCTCCTGCGCGCTGCTTGGGGGCTTGGGTCAGTTACTAGAGCTGACCAAGTTTTGGAATCTGGACATGACACGTCCCTAGCATCAAAAACTTTGTTGGGGTCAGCAAAGCCTCTGGCCTGTTATCTCCCCGATCCTGCCTAGCATCATTCCCTGCCTTATAGGATACTGGATCAGGCACAAGTTTTTGGTAGGAGACCAGTGAAATACAGAATCGAATCAGCATAAAAATGTCCTTTCCAAATGAGCGGCGGACACACGTACACGCTGGGAATCCAAAGAGGTAGTCCCGAGTGCTAACAAAACATCCTAGCAAAGGGGTGGAGGTGATGGGAAGGAGGCCTCCGCGGAGCAAGGCTGAGAACGGGGGAAGAAGCTGGAGCAGTCCCAGGAAAGGCGAATAAAGTAGCTGGCAAGGGCGGGAAGAAGAGGCTGTGCACAGACCTAAGTGCAGGAGAGGCTGGCTGGAGTCGGAGAGCTGCGGGCGCTGGGGGAGGGCTACTGACACTCCATAGCAGACAAATAGGTGGAATGCTTCAAAGGAGACTTCTAAATAGATCCAAGCAGAAGCAAAGGGAGGCAGTGGACAGGGTTGAGGCAGCAGACACCAGTCCTTGGCAGGTGACTTTTGGAGAAGGGGGAAGGGAGCGAACTATGCATCTGTTTGGGGATAGTGCCAATAAATGTGCTTCTCCTTGGCAGCCAGCAGAGGGAAAGACAAACCCAGGAGAGAGAAAAGAATAGGAGGCAAAGAGAAGAGCGGTGTTGCAGGTATATAACAGCTGCCTCACAAGATGAAAGGGAGAATTGACGAGACTTATTTCATGGTCAGTTGATGAAGCAAGAAGTGGGATACAAGAGGTCAAGTTTAGCGAGCAGATGGAAAATGTTTAAAAATGGTTTACCAAGCATTGAATTGAACTATAATAATTTGTATACAAATCGCGAGGAAGCCAGAAGAAGTTGAGGAATGGGCGTTTTCATTTACTGCTTTATTAAAATCTGTAAGAGTTATATCCACAAACTTGAGACTCGTGTAGCTCTTTCTGCCGCTGCCCTGTACCAGGTATGAGCCGCCCACAAAATAATCTTCAAGAAGTAATAAAAGGCTGCCTTCTATATTGCACAGTCTATTAAAATTTGTAGAATGGGGACTAAAGGGATGGCTAGGTGGTTTACAGCACTGGTAGCTCTTGCAAAAGACTCAGGTTTGGTTCCCAAAACCTCATGATGGTTAACAACCTTCCTTAACTCCAGTTCCAGATTTGATGCCCTCTTCTGATCTCTACCAGCTTTGCATGAACCAGAGAACTTACAGGCAGGCAAAACACTCATACACACAAAATAAAATAATTTTTTAAAAAACCCTTTTTAAAGAAAAACTTACAGGATGTTACAGAAATAGTATTTTATTTAATTTTTACAACATCTTTGATGGCTTTGCTTTTGTTTTACAACTAAAGAAAATACTGGGTGGATAGCTGAGGTTTGCTGACTTCCAGTCCAGCTAAGAAAAAACAACAACAACAACAAAAAAAAAAAAAAAAAAAAAAAAAACTAAAAGCTCCAAATTCAGAGAAAACTTGTCATGAGAACGAAGTGGTGAATGATAGAGGCAGATACTTAATGGTCTCCTCTGACCTCTGAATTAAACGTGCAGGTGTGTGCAACACACAAAAGAAATTATTTTATCTGTCTATTACATCTACCAAGGTGCAAAACTAGAGGGTAAAGTGGATGACAATAAAAGTTTAAATATCACCAGTAGATCATGAGGCAATGGAATACCTCACTGACACAGTGAACTTTAGAAAGACAATCAACTCCCTAGTGAGTCATGGAAATAAGGAAGATGGGTTGTCTTCCATGTTTCTCTCTGGTTAGCAAGAGCAGCAGCTAAACAGCTGAGCAATACCGCTCAATGACTGAACAGATTTGAAAGAAGTTGCTTCAGATTTTGTAAGAGTATGGTGCTTGCCAAAGAGGGTATGTCTGCGATGTCAATGTAGTGTTTTAGTTTTCAAACATTTACTCAAGTCCTAGTAAATAATACAAATTCAGTGTCTATCTTTTATATTATGAGTAGTTGTCCTTTGTTATCTCTTGGTGATTTGTTTCATGGGCTTCCTGCAGATACAAATATTCATACCGTTTCATAAATGGCATCAAGTTTACATCTATCTATACACATCCACTAATATATATTTTGAATCATCTTGAAATTATTTATAGTAACTAAGCCAATGTAAATAGTAGATGGGTAGTTGTTGGCTGTACATATTAAATGCAAACACATTTTAAAGACTAAAAAAAGAAGTTTAAGTATGTTTCCTGGTCCTCTAAATACCATTGAAGAAATGAAACAAATTGATACAAGTGTTGTATGAGAAAAGAACTCTAAATGGTGAAGTACTTAATAACTGAGCCAGAATATTAGAGGACTGCTATCAAGGAGGTGGAGCAGAAGATGAAGGCTGTTAGGTTATGAACAAGAAAGGATTTTTCTAAGAAAATTATGAGAGAGAGCTATTAATGTGTCAAAGTATTTGGAAAGGGGACTGTGTAATATATTAAGTTAAATTTGACCAAACAGGAAATCAAAATAGGAATTAATAGTTATCTAGAGAAGGTTATCTTTAAAATAATGAATGGATTGGCCAGGGTAAAGAATTCAGTATAAAGTGGTAAAAACACAAATTTTTCATAAAACAATCAAACTGTAACACTTAGAATAATTGGATGACTTAGAAACATATGCTTTCAAGCATCAATATTAGGGGCTTATTTCAAACAAGAAATACTAAATGTCTGGATACTAAGAATGATAAAAGTGTTAAATTATTAGTCAACATTTATTAAACTGACAGGTGAGCATTGGTTAGTGAACAATGAATGAATATTTGGGTTTTAGAAATAACTAGCAGAAATAAAATACTGCTCTATTTACACAATGAGGCCCATGATACATAGTTCAATGAAAAAGGCGTGATAATTATCACCATGCCATAAGAATTCAGGTAGTTCACATGTGAGATGTTTTGCAATAGGCTGGAAGAAGCAGTTGATTTTCCCCAAGGTCCTTAAGAAAGTGTCACAAAATAAGTGATTCTTGAGTAGAACCTTGGAAAATCAGTAGAAATTTATTAGGAAGATAAGAAAAGAAGGGCATTTCAGATTTGCTGTGCAGTGGAGGAATTAATATGCAAGAAGGCATCTGTAGAATTCCAAGCGATTTGTAAAAGCTAACAGCTGGAGCATTTCCAAAGAGTCAAGGTCAGAGATTACATGGATGAGGAGCAAAGATGAACCCTACATGCCACATTTCAGGAGTACACCATTTTTGACAGGGGGTTTTGAGACAAGAGTCTTCCCACATAGCCCTTGCTGGCCTGGAACTCAATATGTAGACCAGACTGGCTTAGAACTCACAGAGATTCACCTGCCTCTGCCTCCCAAGTACTGGGATTAAAGTTTTGTGCTACCACTCCCAGCTCAGGATTATACTTTATCCTTAAGAATTTTTAGAAAGAGATCATTGAGTTTGTGCTACCTTGATTACAATTTTGAAAACTGTGGAAAATCATCTTCTAAAAGTTCTCATAGCTTGTGTTTAATAAATATCTTTACAGAAATTTTCTTTATGTTTCTCTAGTAAGTCTGATGCAATATGTCCCATGTTGACTCAGCTGTCAATGTGCAGAAATGTACTCATTTTATTGTCAGATGTTTGTTATCCCATTTCTAATCTATTGCTGATGCTGTCCTAATGCCCAGAATCATACAAAAGTTCCTATTCTCATGTATCCTAATAGTGTTAGCTTCTTAGTCACCAGTATTCTGAGAGAGAACATTGTTTACCTATCTGCAGTGAATTAAAATACTATCATCATTTCCTTGGGGCGTTAATGAATGCTTTTCTCACAATTCTTGTCTCTTGTTGTATACGCTTTCTGTCATATTTTTTCTTTGTTATCACAATCTCAAAAAACTAACAATCCCATTACTGCAAGTGAGTAGAGTAAGGGGATGAGACAAAACTAACAAAAAAGCCAGTGACAAAGAATAATTGTCCCTGATGAAGGCAATTCAATAAAATATTGCATGGGAGGCATGGGGAATGAGGAAGTAAATAATACCTATATCTCTCCAGAGCATAACCACTGATACTTTAAAGTGAACAGTGACATATTGGAGTACAGGATGGTTAGAACTGCCTGAAAAGCATTAGAGGCAAATTACATTTTTTTGGGGGGGGGGGTCTTTTTGAGATAGGGTCTCCCTGTAGCCCCAGCTGACCTGGAACTCACTATGTAGACCAGGCTGGCCTCGAACTCACAGAGATCCACCTGCCTCTGCCTCCCAAGTGCTGGGATTAAAGGCGTGTGCCACCACCCCCAGCCCCAAATTACATTTTTTATAAACATCATTGAACCAGATTTCTTAGTTATACTATGACTTTAAAATTGAATTCTGTAGGACTGGAGAAATGGCTCAAGAGTTAAGAGCCCTGGCTGCTTTTCCACAGGACCAGGGTTTGATTCCCAGCACCCACGTGGCAGCTAAT